GCAAGCGTCACGGATGAGTAACTACAGGTCTTATAGGTACACGTCGGATGGAGAATGGTCCCACCGGTACATGTCGCATGGAGAAAGGACCGAGCGGGAGACTTTATGATGAATTACAAGTGTCATGGATGAATAACTACTGGTCCCACAGGCACATGTCGGATGGAGAAAGGATAGTGTGGAGATTTATGATAGAGTGTTGTTCATTATAGATCAAAAACTTCATCCTAGATGTGTAATTAGTTCAATGACTAAGCCTTGGTCATCACAGTTCTAAAGAGGATCGTCATAGATGAGTCACGCGAGTGATCTGTGTCGAAACCCTATACTCTTCTATGGCATTTTTTTGTGACGATGCCTGATTTCATCATAGATAGGGAGGGTTGAAGGATCGTCACCACTAATCTATGACGAAACGAGAAAATTCATCATAAAAAACGATCTTCTATGACGGTTTCAGAATCGTCACTAAGATTTTTATCATAGAAGTGAATATTTCTACTAGTGTATGGAGGTTTCAAGTCCATCCCTAGTAACGGCACCAGAAATGCCTATTGGTATTTCTTAGCACCATCACTAAGATTGAGTAAACCTTAGCGACGCCGCCAAGAAACACCAACTACGATAGTTCTTAATGATTACAGAAAATATACGCAAGCGTATGGATCTATCGTTGTAGCATTTCATCCGGAAGTATTCAGGGCATCGTTGTTTATATTTTCCCAAAGGAGGTCAAGGTATAAGAGTCTAGCATGGATATGAACAAGACTACATACTTGCATAGTAAACCAATAGTTCATGACAGGGGTAAAAATGGTATTTCAAGGATAGTAGACACACATCTGAGCTAACCTCAAGGATAAAAGGAAAATAAAGAATAAAAGAATATTCCTAAGTGGAGCCAGCATGGTCAAATATAGCCGTGCAAAGAACAGTCAATAATCATACAAGTTATATGATTAGAGTTAGAACTAAGTGTAATATGGATGGGAAGATCTCTGAACACTGGTCTGCTAGCAAGCTAGGGAGACTTTAAGACTCCTACACGATACCCGAACATGGGGGATTATAAGGGGCGGACAGGGCTATCACCACCTACTGCCTACCCCTCAACCGGGGGGCACTGTCATATCCGAAGGTTCCCGTGCACCCGAGCACCATGCCTGTGTACAAAGAAACTACCCATATCCCACCGTGACTCTGACCTTAAGGATCGACAAGCATAGGACATGGGCAAACCTGAAGGAATGACGAATCGCGACCTCAACCTAGCTCTACTTCTACTTATACAAGTCATATGAATGGTTAAGCATAAAGTTGAACATGTTAAGATCATAACATATAAACTATATGCTAGTTCATATGTCAAGATTATAACATGAAAACTATAGTCTAGTTCACATGCACTACTATAGTGAAGATATGAGAACAAGGCTATAGAAGAACTCTTCATAGTATTCATACCAAAGTTGCTATTCTTCCAAGAAGCCAAGCTCTCCAAGGTAGTTTTGCAAGCTCCAAACTACTACTAAAAACTAAAAGAGTATAAGTAGAGAAGTGAGGTGTGTAGCTCCAAATGTTGGTGTGTGTCTGGAGAGAGCTCCACCCCTTTTTTATACTGCAACATGGTCAGTTTGGTGTGGGAAAAATAGGAAACCAGCCAAAACCACCTCAGCATGCCGCCATGCAACCATCGTAGGAGGCTAGGCCCGGGCCGTGCTACCTAGGGTGCGGCCGCACCCTAGCTGGCTCGCCTAGCCACAGCCTTTGCCAGGTGGGCTAGTGGTTGGGCCTAGGCCCCTACCACATCAGTGCTTAGCTCAGGTTTGGTCGTGAAGGTGGGCTTCTCCATTTATTCCATTGCGCACTTCTGCTTTACGTTTTCTGTTTTCTGCCTTTTGTTCATTTTCCTATGTATTTGGTGCATATGTCCTGCAAAACACTAAGTATCCAATACATGTGGAAATATTAATAGTAAATGCATTTATGTTGAAAGTTTATTTATTTCTCCCGATTTGGATATTAACTGACAGTCAAAATTTGTCGTTTAAGGACTGCCAACAGAGGGCTTGACTCCTTAGAGAGAGATTTTGGTATGAATAAGATGAATCATTTCTCCAAAGTCTTATTCCTTACTTATCATTATAGTCATACTTATGAACTAGAGTACAGTCTTTATGTAATGATCTTGGCATATGAACAAGCATATAGTTTCTATGTTATAAAATTAGCATATATGACTTTATGCTTAATTATCCCTATAACTTATATGATTGAAAATAGAGCTAAGTTGAGGTGGCAGTTCATCGTGCCTTTGGGTGTGCCCATGTCCTATGCTTGTCGAACCGTAGGGTCGGAGTCTGGGGGGATGTGGGTAGTTTCTCTGTACACGAGTGTGATGCTCGGGTATGTGGAAATAGGTGAATACATTTCCTACTCCATGGTTGAGGGGTAGGCGGCAGGTGGTAACAGCCCTGTCCGTCCCTTTTAATCCCCCACGTTCTGTCCGTCCCTTTTAATCCCCCATGTTCATTTAGGGTGTAGGAGTCTAAATTGTCACATTAGGTTGCTGGCAAACAAGTACTCGGTGACCTCCCGATTTGTCTTGCACTTAGATCTAACTTTGATTATGTAATTTGTATGACTATCAACTATTCTTTGAATTATTATATTAGAACAAGCCCTCTCTACTTAGGAATATTCTTTTATTCTTTATTTCTATTTTATCTTTGAAATTGATCCAAGCGTGTGTCCACTATCTTAATCCATAGCATATTTACCCCTATTATGAGCATTGGTTCACTTTACTAGCATGTTAACTTGTTCATATCCATACTAGAGACTTAATCAATATGGCTTCCTTTCGAAAAATATAAATAACGATACCCTGAATACTTCTGGGTGAAATGCTACAATGATAGATCATGCGCTTGCGGATAATATCTAAAATTCTTAAGGAACTATCAAGCTTTTCCTGGTGACATTGCTAATTACTAGTAATGTTGTTAAGAAATACCAACAGACACTTGGGACGGTTGATCAGGAGAATGATCAACCCGAGGTAGAAACCAATAACTCTAGGGTAGCACCATGCAATCCCCTGCCAAACTCTCTCTCAATTCCTCTTTTGTAAACTCCCGATTGGCCATTCCTAACATGAAGAACACCATACTACTGGATGTAGGGTTGAGAGGCCCGTACCACGATAAACTGATTGTGTCCTTTACATGTTTTGAGTGTCCGAGCCACCAAAGACCGACACATCAACCTCCAATGAACAAACTTGATGCTTGCCGTGGTTCTGAACCCGCAACACTTAGGATATAAATGGTGTCACATTTTTCAAGTTAATAGTTGGAATAAATTCACATACTGTCTACCCAATGTCATTTCAGTAACATGTGTTTATTTTGAGTCATCTAGCCATTTAACCTGGTGTATACTAGAGATATATGTGATTTGATAAAAAAATGCATATATCTCAAAGGTGACCAGATCCTTGTGCTTGTCTTAAATAATTGTGCACATGTTGATTTTAATGGCTCTTTTGTAGAGCAATTATTTTAAGTAGACTGCATATATGAAATACAAGAAGAAACAAAATAAGGATGACACAAAACATGGATCAGAAGTTAGGAAAATGATGTTGGATGGTTTGGCACTAGAATAAGTAGCCTAGGCCAGTTTCAGAACCAACCCAGGCCGGTTTTTGTAGGGAAAATCAACCAAATTGCAAAATATGAAGAATTGGATCTATTCAAGTTGTATTTCTTCATATGTGGCTTATATATGATCCATCTGACTTATTAGCTATGAGTCTCACTTCACGGGTTCAATTCTTGTCAATACTCCTTATTTTAGCAAAGGTATAAAATGAGTCTCTCAAGTTAAGAAATTGACAGTGCATTGAACAAGTAATCCAAATACTTGGTGCACTCATTGAGGGGGGAGCTTATCAAATGCCTCATGCCATGTGGACTAACCTTTTTCATCTGAGTGAGCTTGTAGCCTAATTTGGAAAAGGACGTTCTATTTCAAGTGTGGCACAAATATTTGATTATCGAGTTGATACTTAGACCTATTGCAGGATATGTGCACATTGATGATTTTGGGAGCAAGTCATGAATGTTTGACACACTTAAGTTGTATCTATGAATTCAAGTATCATTATATCACTGTGTGAGTAATTCTTGGCACTGCTAAATTTAAATTTTATCATTATTGCCATGACCTAGACATAGAGTAAACTCTCAAGTTCTTAAATGAATAATGTGCTATAGGAGAAATTTAAATACCCAAAGCACATCTCAAGGGGAAACTCAGTCTATGGCTAGTGTTGTGACCCTAATCATTTTTAAGTGATTTGTGTTGCCTCATTAAATAAGAAAGTGTTTCTGAAATAGAGTGTGATATTTGACATACAAAGTTCATCAATCCAATACTGTGTAATGTATTCTCTCTCAAGTTAATTTGGATTGATTTATCCATGCATGTTTAGCCACTCACCAAAATATGACATAAATCTACCCTTGATTTAAATGACCGATCATGCATACACTTTCATTTCACTCAAAAGGGTGTTCATGATATTTTGAGGGAGATTCAATCTATATTGTGAGGTTTCTTAGGCCTTGTTTGATCCATAGTACTAATAAATAGTTGACTATTTTTTACTCCCTCCGTATTCAGAAATCATGTCATTTTAGGGGGTGGAGTGGTTTTCACTAATGAAGTCGTTCTGGGCGCATGGAGAGAGTTTTGGACGGGATTACCCCCACTTTTTCGTATCCTGGCCCATCACGGCGTCGCCCAGTCCCGAGGATACATTTAATTGCGCCTCCTCGCTTGCCGTCATCCCTTGCTTCGCTCGCGCCGCGCATCAGAGAGAGAGTCCGTCGCTTGTCTCTATGGAGAGAGAGAGCTCGCTCGTGCTGCGCATGGAGGCCACGAAGCGACGCATGGAGGCCATCGCGCCGTAGGACATCGCGGCGGAGGACGTCATGGCGGTCCGTCGATCTACGCCGCAGGACGTCGTGCCACCGGAGTCCGTCGAGCTGTGCCGCAGGACGTCGCTGGCCGCGGCGGAGGAGTCGGAGGATGACGGGTCGGAGATGCAGGAGCCTCCAAGGAGGACGAGGAGGTGGGCTCTCATAGCCGGAGGATGAGTCGTCCATGTCCATGGCTCCTCGGAAAGGGAACAGTAGCAATGCGGGGTGCGCACATGAAAAAGAAAGGAGATGCAAAGATAGAGTACTACTGTATTTGTTCGATCAAGATTAAATGTTCCTCCATGAACCAAGCTTCTCCAAAGCGACGAGAGAATAATATTGAAATTTTGAAAGGCCTGTTCATGAAATTAAATTCAGTTATAATGATATACTACTACTCATAAAATTAGACTGAGTTGAAACTAGAAAAGAAAATGTACTTGCAGAGAGTGTACATGTTGAACGCTCAGAATAAGGCCATCAACGCTTTTTGCATCTTTCTTAATTTCAATAGCTTGGATAGCACGAGATATACCCAGATCTACGATATCAAACTTTGGTGAATTTGATGGTTGAAAAATGACCCTAATGTCGAAACAATCTTCTTTACCAGCTTCAAGGAACTGTGGATCATCATGTTCTACTCTAATATGAGAAGGTGCATTATCTTGCAGAATGTAGATAGGCTTGTCGACATCTTCTAGTGGCCCATCTAGCTCGAATAGCTGGAAGAACACTAGAAATCATGAATTCTCTAATTACATCTCTTCTAATTGTTGCTATCGGCTTCGCTTCAATTGTCCCAGCTGGCCGGTTAACACTACTCCTCTTAGCATGCTCAAAAGTAACTAGAGCAAAGCATCCTATCTTTCAGTTAAAAATACACACTCCCCCCTCATCGAATCATGGTCGAGCAGTCACACATAAAAACATTATTTTAGGAATCTTGCTCTTGGAAGAACCTAAGGTCAATATTCTAGTAAGAACATAAGAACACCATTCCTCATCTTGCGTCAAATCCAAAGCAGCAAACGCTTCATTGTCATCTAGTAGAGTGGCATAAGAACATGTACACTTAGAAACAGTACAAGTACTTACCATTGGGATCCAATCCAGCAAAGAATTCATCCATGTGTTGGGACAGTTGCACGACAAATGAACAAGAGGAGCTGGCTTAGTGTTGTGTTGCATACTAGTACTGCTTGCGCTGTGGCGTTTAAATAGGCAAGTGACCCAAACGAACTGGCGCAAAAATCACGTGCCAGCGAACGGAGTGATCCGCGCCAAGGGAAAAAATCATGCCAAAAAATCGTGCCAACAGTCCCATGCAGCGGCCAACGCTAAAAATGGCAACGGGTAAAATCCGTGCGGGTATAGAAATCACAAACCTGCACTCGCGACAATATATCTGTGCCCGCGTCCGCCACCCGCCACGGGCAGCACTATGCGCCCGCGCCCGCTATCCGCGGGCATGTTTTGCCCGCGGGCATGCCCGCATACCCGCTCGAAGTATAAATAGATGACATTTAACATGACAGCTAACACAGAATGACAAAAGTATAAATATATCATAACGTTCAATTATTCATCACACGTTCATAATCTCAATTCATCACAATCATAAATCATGCAACACAGTTCAATAGTTCACCACGGTCCACACATTCAACAATACAGTACTGGCCTACCATACAAGTACACATTGTTCAACTGCAAAGTCTTCCAAGTGATACAAATAAACAAGACATGAACAAGTAATTAGTCGGAATCCGCTCTAGTGATGCAAGATTCATCTTTCAGATCTTCTTCATTGTCTTCAAGGCATGACCAAAAGCTATTGAACCTTCCATCACCCTCATCTACATTCAAGTTCAAAGTCCATCAACACGCACTTTTTCAAAGTCATTCCAGACTACAGAGGTGAGCTTTCTCTTTGAAGGCCGCCCACCATCATCCGAGTCCTCCTCCCCCTCTGATACGTTCACAACATCCACGGCTTTGTCCTCCTCAGTACCAACTGCAGCAGTTGCACGGGAGGTTTGCACTTGGGAGCTACCAGGGGTCGCCATTCTAGCCAAACAAAGCCATGATGTTTCATATTGTTATTTTCAGAAGTTAGTTTTGTAACAAGCGAAAAGGTTTATAATCATGAATCCAATACCATCAAAGATGTCATCACAGATGATCAGTTAACTTTTTGTTGCAAAGATCTCTAGTTAGGTGTATTCATCCCAATCTAAAATGCTCGAGACAACTCAAGTTCTAGCACTTCTTGTTCATTTGTCTTTGCCTAAGGTGAACCCTCCAGTCAAATGTCTTGCTGCAAACTCTCAGTCAGCCAGAGCAGCGCATGTCAGGAGCTGTGCACATTGCAGTTATCATTTTCAGAAAAGGAGTTACAATATGATATCTCTTTTCTCCATAGTTGGGAGCATTTTATGTATATTACACTACTGTAAACGCGTGCTTTGCCGAGAGCCTGAGGATTTGCCGAGGGCCAAATCTCGGGCACTCGGCAAAGACGCTCTTTGTCGAGGGCCAAACACAAGAGCCCTCGACAAAGAACGGCCCTCGGCAAAGAGGCCTTTGCCGAGGGTACGACCCTCGGCAAAAATAGGCCCTCGGCAAATCAAATCTTTGCCGAGGGCCGAGGCCCTCAGCAAAGATGTCCTCGGCAAATTAGGCCCGTTGGGTCACGGCGGCCATTTCCCGTCAAGCTTTGCCGAGGGCCACCCGTTAGGCCCTCGGCAAAGGTTTTTTTTCCTGTGCAACCAGGTTATTCGACAATTTTTTTTAAGTCTTTGTCGAGGACCCTAGACCACGCCCTCGGCAAAGATTTTTTTAAAACCAGTTTTTCGGCCATTTTTTTTTATAAATCGCCTTTGCCGAGGGCCCGAGGCTAGGCCCTCGGCAAAGAAGCCCAGCCCTCGGCCAAGATTTTTTATTTTTTTTTTAAATTCTTTGCCAAGGGCCCAGATCCACGGCCCTCGGCAAAGATTTTTTTATTTTATTTTTTAAATTCTTTGCCGAGGGCCCAGATCCACGGCCCTCGGCAAAGATTTTTTATTTTTTTTTAAAAAAAATTCTTTGCCGAGGGCCACGGGGCAGGCCCTCGGCAAAGAGCCCTCAGCAATTTTTTTTTGGGTTTTTTAGCCCAGTTTTTTTGTGGTGCTACAATACATTGTTTTGAACTCAATTTTAAAATTTAGGCTAATTTTGATTTTGTTTTGTATATTTCCTTAATTTATTTCGATTCTTTGATTTTTTTCGAATATGTCAAATTTGAACTGCAGGTGCATGGAATATTGCAATGTAGTGTTTCGAAAAATATTATTCATGTTAATTGGTGCATGTTGAGTCCCTATCCACGACCCCGCATCAAATTTTCATGCATCTTGTTCGCGTAACATGACGACCAACTTGCCGGAAAAGTGTTTTAAAATTATATAAAATCCATATGAAGTCCGAAAATCACGAAACTTGGCGAGATGCCATGTTATCGCATGTGTAGGCTGTGGTAAAAATTTGAGAAGGCTTCGAGCGAGTTGCAACGTCGGATGCCTGAAACCCACATGTGGAGATGTCTGGGTTTCAGGCATCCGATGTCAGAACTTGCTCGAAACCTTCTCAATTTTTTACCACAGCCTACACATGCGATAACATGACACCTCAACAAGTTTCGTGAATTTTCGGACTTCGTATGGATTTTATATAATTTTAAAATACTTTTCCGGCAAGTCGGTCGTCATGTTACGTGAAGAAGATGCGCGAAATTTGATACGAGTTCATGGATAGGGACTCAACATGCACCAATTAACATGAATAACATTTTTTGAAACACTACATTGCAATATTCCATGCACCTGCAGTTCAAATTTAACATATTCAAAAAAAATCAAAGAATCAAAATAAATTAAGAAAATATATAAAAAAAGTCAAAATTGACCCAAATTTTAAAATTGAGTTCAAAACAATATGTATTGTAGCACAAAAAAACTAGGCTAAAAATTTTTTTTTTTACCGAGTGCCTAGCCTGGCCCTCGGTAAAGGGCCGTCTCGGCCCTCGGTAAAGAAAATTTTGGCCGGGAAAACTACCGCGCTGTGGCTCCAAATTTTTTTCCAAAATGTCAACCAGACACATCCACTCTCTCTCCACCTTATCTTCAGAACGGATCCTCTTCCCCCATCCCTCCGCTAGTCCACCATCTCCGCTCGGGGGCGAACAGCCTTGAGCTCGTGCCTCGCCGGCGCTCCGCTCGGGGGCACAGCCTTGAGCGCGTGCCTCGCCGGCGCTCTGCTCGGGGGCACACCCTTGAGCCCGTGCCTCGCCGGCTCCGGTTGGGCCTCGGCGCTCTCCCCAGATCCGTCGTCCCCAGATCAAAGCTCTCGCTTCGCCATTGCCTGCACCAGTGCATACATTCCTCCAGTCACCCCACCGCAAAATCTTTGCGCCGCCACACACGCCCAAATCAACCTCGTGCTGCAAACTCCCGCCCACCTGACGTGCATCTGTTCAATAAGGTCAGCAGCCTTCCCCAATTTTTCTATTCCCCAATCTCTCTATTCTGCAGTTAGTAGCACCCGTGGGGTAGGAGTCGTCGTCTGCTTCAGGAGTTAGGCCGGGAGCGGCACCAGGGCGGCCAGGGGCGCCGGCGAGAACCAGATCCCGCGCTGGCTGCTTTGGGCACGCCCCGTGTGGTGGCCTGTCCCTGGGGAGAGCGAGCAGGGCAGTCGCCCAGGGCCCCTCTTTCTGTGCAGGTACATTAGATTTTTTTTTGCAAGACTAGATGCAAATGTACAATAGATTAGAAAGGGAAAGAAGCTAATTACTGGATAAAGCTGCAATGACATTACTGATTCAATCCTTTGGTGTGCATAAGTAATAAGTAGCAACGACATGCAGAAGGTATTTCTGATTTGCTTTGAACTTTAGCAGCACTAAATACAGAGATACAGTACACTGCAACTACTGTTTTGTTTTCATGACACAAACTTGTTAGCAATATCATATTTAATAGTCAAATGATTACTGCTCCTGAACACTACAAGTATGTTGTATTTTACACAGGGTTTTGAATGACAATGCTCAGTCATTAGTCGGAGTTTCAGTGTTGGTGCTTGCATACAAGCAGGTCATTCAGGGTGCTCGGCAACCTACAGCAATCACCAAGGTACCCATTCGTCAATTATCATTCTCCTAGTGATGTTTCCAATTCATGTTTTGCATGTACGAGTATATGCTTGAGCCAAATAATTGTCACTTAAGTAGTACGAATAATATTTTGTGCATGCCGAACCTGCTACAAATAGGAAGGAAAAATGTTTCACGAATTGCCTAAATGTTTGATTTTTATTTATATCAGAGTTGTACAGTTACACAGGTTCAAAATTAGATTGTTTATGCAAAGATTTGTATTGCTTTCCATCTTGCATTGTGTATACAAAGATTTGTATGACTGTCCAACTTGCATTGTGTATCCGAGTACATCATCAGTGCAAAAAGATTTATAGTCCCTTCATATTTGAACTTAGATGCTAATTGACCGCAAAAGATATCACTTGTTCTAGTACAAATAGCATTCTAAAACATCTGTATGTACTGAACTACTGCTTTTTGGAATCTGAATATTGTTACACCATGGGTGGAACTTCCAGCTAGCTATTCGTTAAAAAAGAATCTGAATATTATTGCAAGCTGAATTTTTATGATGATAATGCAAACTTAAGCTGTTGTCCTAACCTGAGATGAATATGCTCTTTACTATTACTACTACAGTACTACTTAGCTACCCTTGTGCAACCCATTTTAGCTACTAATCCAAACATTTTTTTGTCATGTTAGGCTCAAATGAAAGCCATCATGGCTCAGTCTGCACCAGATGGGGAACAACCAAAGACTCTTGGAGAAGTCGTTGCTCATGTTTTGCCATAAAATAAATTACTTCGAAATGTTGGTCTTAAGTCAATAACCTCCAAGCGAACACTACTGCTGCTGCAGCACGTGTACAAGAGTTGGTGCAGCACTTCGATAAATTTCATGGCGATTATTTTGCCACTTGTTGGACCTAGTAATGACTTGGACATGTGAGGTTCATATAGTTTTGGTTGAGTTTGACATGTGAGAATTATTTGGACATGCAATTATTAATAGATCTGACTTGTCGTAATAAACATGTGAATGATGATGAACATGTGACTTGTCGTCGTAATATATTGTGATTTGTGGTTCACAATTATGGTTGTGATATATTGTGAGAAAATGGCTTACATGATATATATATATATATATATATATATATATATATATATATATATATATATATATATATATATATATATATATATATATATATATGAAATGCTTGTGTCGATGGAATGTAAAAAACAAAAAAAAATTTAATTTACGCCTCTTTGCCGAGGGCAATGACCAAGGCCCTAAGAAAGAAGGGGTCCTTGCCGAGGACCCAAGCAATAGCCCTCAAGAAAGATTTTTTGAAAAAATCTCGACAATTTCTTTCCGAGGGGGGGAGAGCCCTCGGCAAAGGGTTAAAAAATTCAAAAAAACCATTTTTTTTTGCCGAGGGCCCTCTCGGCAAAGAAATTTTAAAAATCTCGAAAATTTCTTTGCCGAGGGTCGGGGAGAAGGCCCTCGGCAAAGGTTTAAAAAATAAAAATAAAAAAAATTATTTGCCGACTTTGCCGAGGGCCGGCCCTCGGCAAAGAATTTTTAAAAAATCCTGAAAATTTCTTTGCCGAGGGCTAGGGAGGAGGCCCTCGGCAAAGGTTTTAAAAAAAAAATAAAAAAAATTATTTGCCGAGGGTGGGCCCTCGGCAAAGAAACCGCCAACGGCGCCGGCGCCTGACGGCCTCTTTTCTTTGCCGAGGGCCGTCCTAGCCCTCGACAAAGGCTTTGCCGAGTGCCCGATAAAGGGCCCTCGGTAAAGACCCCTTCGCCGTCTAAAAATTCCCCGATGGGTCTTTGCCGAGGACAGCCCTCGGCAAAGCCTTTGTCGAGGGTTTCTGGGCCTTTGCCGAGGGCCCCTCGGCAAAGCATGCGCCTCCAGTAGTGTTAGGACTTTTTTTCGTTTTTGATGTTTCTGTTTTGCATATACGTGCATTTAGTAACTTTATGACGTCTTAAAACTTTGCTTAGAAACTGACCAATCTGTGCTACTGGTTGACTTTTTTCTGCTCCAGTATCTGAAATTAAAACCCTGAGTATTACAAATGAATTGATATGAGAATATGCGTCATGACATTGCCTTCTAGCTTCTACCATTTGGCCAATCAAGTATTGCGACATTTATAGCTGTAAAGATTGTAGCTAGGGTCAAGTGTGGAAGCTGGAGACAGATAGGCCATACAGTCTTTGACAGTAGATTGTTAATTTCTATTTCATGTTCAAGGTTCGTCTTATCAAGGAGCTCTACGGGAACCAAATTGGCGAGCTGTTCCATAGTCTTCCTTACAATATGATAGAGTTTGTATTGGAGGATTTTGAGTGGTAAGGATAATATTTAATTACTGCTAATGCTACGTTCTGCATCTAGTACAGTACCAAATCGAATCCATCCATGGAGAAAATAAACTACTACTACTCCTAGTATACACGGGAACGGGGGATTTGGTTCCTGACGGCATGCACGCAAGAAGCTAGCAGCAGATCTAGGCAGCGATGGGGGCAGACAGTTCCGGACGGAAGCACACGGACGGGGTAGGACACCGGTGGTGGATTGGGAAGCAACTAGCGAGGAAGAGATGAGAGTGCAGGCGGTCGTCTTACTCTTACCGGCTGTGGATCCGGCGGTCCGGCCAGTGGGCGCTCCTCCTCCAGTCCTCCTCCTCGGCAGGCGGAGGTGGGCGAGCGATGGAGATGCTGCTGCAGCTTGTTGCCCCAAATCTCAATCTCCTTGAGGGACACACAGCCGTGGGGGATTTTAAAGCGGCGGGCGACACTCCACGGCAGGGAACTGGGGCTGGGGATCTGGACCGTCCCGAGGGAGGCCGGAGTGGAGGAGCGGCGGGCTGGGAGGCCGGAGCCCGGAGGTGCGATGCTGCCGCCTTCTTCTGGGTCTGGAGGCGAACGCCAATGGGGACTGGGAGGCCGGACTCGGAGGCGCGACTTGGGATGGGATTGGGAATTTGGGACGACGGATGAGTGAATCTGAAACCCTAGAATCTGAAGGTTATATAGCTCTTATCGCGGTGGCCCCACATGTCGGTCAGGAGTTTCAGCGGGGTTTGCGGATGCGGGCATGCTCTTTTTTTACCCATTTACCTTTGCCCGCTGGGCACAACTCTATGCCCGCGCCCGTGCCCGCGGGCACAGGTTCGCGCCCGTATCCGCGCCCACCGGGTCGGATACCCGCGGGTACACGGATTTTCTTTGCCCGTTGCCATCTTTAGGCAACGCGAGCGCCAAGGAAAGTAATGCGCGCGGCAAGGGAAAAAAAACGCGCCCACAGTGCCATGCAGCGAGCCTCAACGAATCAGGCTGCTTGCCAACAAAAAAATCCCGCGCAAAATTGACACATTACACAAAAATATGACAACGCGAGGGATCGAACACTGCCCTCATGGCTCGAGCCTCAACAAGTTAACCAACCAAGCTGCAAATGTTTGTTGTATTGGGGATACCTGCTACCCTATTTAATAAGGGAAGACAGAGAAAAGTACACCCTAATTAATCACTCCTTGGTATGTTAAATCCTATCCAAAACGACTTGATTTTTGAGTATGGAGGGAGTACTTTTTAAGGATCCAAACACACAGACTAATTGCTAGTCTAGTAGTCATGGACTAGTCCATTGGTCAATATAGAGCACCCCTATGTTCCAAATTATAAGCCACTCTGACTTTTTTGGTATATAGATTTTGTCGTGTATCTAGACGTACGTTATATCTAAATACATGGGAAAATCGATATACAAAAAAGTCAAAGCAATTATAATTTAGAACCGAGGGAGTAGGTAATAGGACTAGTTGATAATTCTAGTCCATCTAAACATGTCTTTAATTTAGTAATAACTCACTTGTCATCCACGTATAAATGGTTGCTAAAACGAAAAACTAATGCTTATGTTACTACTGTCCACTTGTCTTAGGCTTTGTTCCATTAGGCCCACCTCAGTTGGGCTCAAGGCCCAACCCCCATGGACCCCAGCCTACCCCGGCCTTTTCTTGTCACCCCGGCCTAGGATTACGCCAGTACTCTACCGGGGTGGAAGCAATCCTGTCGCTGGGCGACGCACGTGAAGGGGCAGGCGGAGCAGCGCACGCGAAGGGCAAGTGAAGGGTCCAAACGAACATGTTTTTGGAAAGGGATTAAAGGATTAAACACCTACAGGGATCAAGTGATAGCACAGGGATTCACTCATTCCCTGTAGGGGTTAAATCAGCTTGGGGATTAGACCCCCTGCAACCGAACATAGCCTTAGAGTGCTTTTGGCTTGGCACGTTTGGATCCGATCCGAGCTAGTAGGGGCACTGGTCGTTACCGAAGAAAATTACTCATCCGTTCGTCGGAGAGAGATTTCAAGAAGTCAAACAAACATTAAAACTAGCCATTATTAGATGCATTAAATACAAACAATAACAAAACGTCTGCACATGCATATATATTTTACATAAACCATCACTTTATTGTACGTAGGCAGATACAGTATAGCAACAGGTATGAGCAACACATATAGCTAGTATATGTGACGCATGCATTATTATTCTTCTGGTTGACCTAGCCCTCCAGTGGTTGAGCAACACAAGATGGTAACCTTGGAGTGAGAATGAGCTTATCTTTGCGGTGCACAGTTAATCCAAACACCTCTGTCATGTCAATCTCGTTCGCTCCTGCCGTCATCTCCCAATCAAAATGGCACACAAGATTTGCTAGCATGATTTCAACGTTGGCCAGGCCAAAATTCATGCCAGGACACATCCTTCGGCCGGACCCAAATGGCAGAAACTGAAAGTCAATCCCTCTAAAATCGACACCCTTTGTGGCCCCCTTGTTGATGAACCTCTCCGGCATGAATTCCTCTGCAGCATCGCCCCATGACCTCGGGTCGCGGCCGATTGCCCAGGCGTTGACAAACACGGTGGTGCCAGCAGACACCACGTAGCCATCGATGGTGCACTCCTCTAGTGACTGATGTGGGAGGAGAAGCGGCGACGGCGGGTGCAAACGGAGCGTTTCTTTGATGACAGCTTTTAGATATGGCATTCCGGTGAGGTACTCTTCTGTGATGACTTCTTGGTCCTTAGGCATGCTACTTCTCACCTCTGCCTGTAGCCTTGCCATAACATCTTGGTGCAGCATCAGTTCAGCCATGGTGAATTCTAGAACCAAGTACGCTGTGTCTGTGCCCGCTGCAAACAAATCCTGTACGTTGTAGCTATATATGAGCAGTTGGATGATGATGATCTATCTGATGGTTCAAGAAATTGACTGACAAGTAAGAAATGAAAGTTGTTAATTGAACTCACAGACAAGATTCCTTTGATGCCGTCTCTGGTGAGCCCGTACTCCACTTGCACCGATAGCAACACATGAATAAAATCACTCTCATGGTGTGCCGGTGGTCCACCTGCCGCCGCCAAGCTCGCGTGCTGGTCGATCACCTTATCAAGGACCTCATCCCACCGGTCCCTGAGTCTCTCAGCCTTGCGGCGCCCGGACCACATGAGCACCCCACCGGCCACCTTGGCCAGGCCAGGATAGAAGTTCTCCAGGCTGAAGCCCCCAAGGACGGCCATGCTCGCGTCCATCACCTCCTTGAACACCTTGTCCAGGCCATCCACCCTGAACGACCGCCCCACCACGGCTCGGGACACCATGTCCGTCGTGAACGAGCTCAGGAGCTCGCTCAAGTCCACAGCCTCGCCTGAAGTGGCTGCGCGGTGGATCTTGTCGATAACCACTCCCACCTGCATGCAGGAGCAGGATACGTTGTAGATATGAACAAAACTGTCAATATCCATGATCTCGGCGGGCGTCATGATGATAAACTAAGATGAGACTGATTAATTAATTTACCTCCTCCTCGCGGGCGGTGCGGTAGGACTGCACCTTCTTGGTGTTGAGCAGGTGCGTGGTGACCAGCTTCTTGGCCTGCCGCCACCCGTCGCCGTAGGGCGCGAACCCGACGTCGGACGGCCCGTACCCGAGGATGTCGCCGAAGATGGAGCGGGGCCTCGAGGCCAGCGACTGGTCGTGCGTGCGCAGCACCGCCTGTGCGGCACGCGGGGACGACGCCACAAGCGTCGGGACCGCGCCGAGGCGGAGCAGCATGAGGTCCTCGCCACTGTGCCGGGCGGCGAGGCCCCGCATAGAGATATGCGGGTGCGCACCGACGAGGTGAAGGTGCCCGATCAGCGGCAGGGCCGGAGGTGACGGAGGCAGTTTCTTTCCTTGCTTGTTATTAATCGTTGTTGTTCCTGTAGAGAAGTAGCGTAGCAGGACGAAGAGGAGGAGGACAGGGACCAGGAGTGGGAAAACTGCTTTCAGCAACGGTGAATTAGCAGTGAGATGATCAATAACTATTGTAGCTTGATGTGCCATGATGGCCACTTGAGCCCAAAAGTTTTCGAGGTGTGGTAACTGAGATGCCGTCCTTGGGGTGATCTTATATAGATGCATGTGAGAGGGTATATATATGAGAAAAGATATAACCCCTATGCATTTTGCATACGAATAATTGGCCAAATTGGACGGAAGATGACCGCAGGAGAGGCAAGAGATCCACATGCATTTCGAATACGGAGAATTGGTCAATTTTTTTCATAAAGTCCTGTATGCATACACTCATATACGGCCTTTTCTTTATTATAGGGAGCAAAGACTTCCGCTGTTTAGACGCAGCCTATCATACAGTATAGAGATATACCCAGGCGTTGGGTCAAGCGTGCCATTAAATTCGCATCGTTTTAGTTGTTTTGTCGTTCCCACCTTGCATGGCTGGACAACTTGCATGCCTACGTGCAATCTCTTGCATGCAAAATCGATGTGTCACTGTGATATTATTTTAGTTTTGCAAAGTCAAACTATCTCAAATCTAACCAAGTTTATATAAAAACTATCAAAATTTATAATACCAAATAAGTATAATTATTAGATTAATCATGAAATGTACTTTTGAAATAATATATCTATCTATCCTTATAAACATTGATACTTTTTCTTCATAAATTTTGTCAAATTCAAAATAGTTCGACTCAAAACAAAACTGAAACAAGACTATTCCTGGACGGAGTAGTATAACAGGTGACCGGAGATTAGGTGACAATCATTACTAGTAAAACTGTTGTTTTAGGCTTCTATCAATTTCAGTATATTGAGTTCAAATAACATCTTGAAGCTGGTCAGCGCAGAGCTTACTTAAGGCCATCTTCGGCCATGGTCCCTCCTCCTCCCTCAATATTGCTACACACTAGTACAGAACTGATTTCCAACAACGAGAGTTTTTTTAAAAGCTGTGTAATTTCTATTTACCTCTACAGTGATGTCCGAATCAAGCTTTCTCTAGAAATCGATTTTAAAATCCAAATTTTACTGTGCAACTTCAATTTGAAATCATCTATTTAAGAAAAATTACGTTTGAATTCTTCATATTTGAAATTCAATTTTTTTAAACGTTCTTAGATGGAGAAATGACCAAAACCAAAGTTGTAGATATCGAAAATTTATGTAACTTTATAGTTGACAAATTTTTCATTTGAAATCATCTATGCAAGAAAAATTACGTTTGAAATTCAAAAATTTCAAACATTAGATGGAGAAATGACCAAACCAAAGTTGTAGACCTCAAAAAAGTTATACAACTTTGTAGTTGACAACGTTTTCATCTTGAGTATCTGATATGGACATATAAGTGACTCATTGGTGTAGGAGTTAGGAAAGATGAGCGTGTGCGCGAAAAATCATGGGACTTGGAACCAGTGTGGCTGCCCAGTAGGGTCTCCGAGGATTATTGTTTTGCTATTTTTTTTATCCGAACTGTGAATTTGACAATGATTTGTAGAGACTATTCGAAATAAAAGACATCTCTACAAATCGGATTTCCAGAGGCGAATTATAAATCTCATTTTTAGAGGCAAAAAACTAGAGGCTATAGTACAAATAGGTAGTAATGTTAACTTACAAACAAAGGATTAGATCTTAGTATAAACTAGACCAAAGATTTGCCATTCTTGTTCAGGTAATTCATACACAACTAACGATTGGCCGCTGCTAAAAATTTATTAGTCAAGCTCCTGCATTCATGAATGAACTATACATGTGCACCTGCATACATGAGGATGCGCTCCAGTGCAGATTAACTGTAGTATATCTGGCAAAGAGCACACAAATAAAGCGCTTGTTTGGATTAGTTCACGACTTAAAAGAAGCATACGCATCCATAGTCAATAGTTGAACATTCTACCAAGATATCAATAATCATTTAAAGTCAAAGAGCTAGTACTTGAGATAAGTTTGTGTCCTTCTCATCCTGCACGTGTTGGAGCCTGGAGCCATGTTATGGAATTATGTATACTAAATGACACGGAGTCTAAAGCACGTGAGTTGAAAAAAGAACAATTCAAACTTGAATCTAGATGTTCTCATTTTCTCTGATCCGTAGTGACGCATAAACTTGAATCCTACTTGGGAATTGCAAAACAGTTCGAAATGGAACTCCGCTGGTTCTCCCGAGTGGATTTCTTTGATCGTGTCGCAGACATATGGAACAAGGCGGCGCCAAAACTCAGTCCAAAGATGGAACAGGAAAATGGGGGCCTTAGGAAAACACCTTCCGGGATGGGCAGCCCATACCCATGGAGAGTACAAACAACACAAAAAACCATCTTGAATCTACAATCTCATCGTTGGACATAGTCACAGAAAGTCGTGTGTTGTCCGACGGGGAGTGTAAACAACTGTAAACTACCCGTGATAATTTGGCTAAACTCCTACAGGAGTAGGAGATCAAGTTTTATCAACGAGCTATGGTCACTGATGTGCTCCTAGGAGATAATAATACTAGATACTTTCAAATGGTCCCTAATGGTAAACACAGGAAGAAACGAATCTTCTCGTTGGAGCATGACAATGGAAAAATTGAGGGACAGGCCAACTATAAAAGCTATATCACCCAATTTTACAAAGAATTGTCTGGGCACCCTGATGAGAACTTTTTCCTGCTGGAGGAACACCGGACAGAGGATATCCCTCAATTTGGTCACAGCGAGAATGCATTCCTAATGGCCCCTTTCACTGAAAAGGAGATTCGGAAGGAGTTTTTGACATGGAACAGAACGAGGCACCTTGACCTGATGGATTCCCAGCTGAATTTTATCAGAAATGTTGGGAGATCATTAAACAAGACCTCATAAAGATGTTCCATGATCTGCATAAGGGTGATATTCCTCTGTTCAGCCTTAATTTTGGTGTCAGGACCCTTTTTGCCAAAGGTGCACGACTTGAATAAAATTCAGCAGTACAGACTAATTTGTTTATTGAATGTGAGCTTCAAGATTTTCACCAAGGCCGCAACGTTACACGTTAATCAGTAGCAGATCACGTTATCAGCAACTCAAACAACATTCATGAGAGGGGGCAATATCCTAGAAGGGGTAGTCATCTTACATGAAACTGTTCATGAACTTCATCGTAAGAAACTAAGTGGTATAATTTTTAAAATCGACTTTGAAAAGGCCTATGTTTAAGTAAGATGGCTGTTCCTACTGCAAACACTATGGATGAAAGTTTTTTCACCTAAATGGATTTCTTGGGTGAATTGTTTCATATCGGGTGGAAATGTGGCGATCAATGTTAATGATGATATCGGTCCTTACTTTCAAACAAAAAAAAGGCCTCTGACAAGGTGACCCTTTATCACCAATTCTCTTTAATCTTGTTGCCGATGCTTGCAATAATTGTTAACCGAGCCAAAGTAGATGTTCAAGTTAGTGGGGTGGTGCCACATCTGGTAGATGGTGGTTTATCCATACTCCAATATGCTAACGATACAATCCTCTTCATGGAGCATGACCTGGAAGAGGCTAAAACATGAAGTTGTAACTTTCTGCTTTTGAGCAAATATCTGGTTTGAAAATAATTTTAATAAGAGAAAAAATTTCTGCTTTGGAGAAGCTAAAGAATACAGGACACAGTACATAGTTCTTTTTGGCTGTAATCCAGGCACTTTCCCAATGAGGTATTTGGGTATTCCTATTCATTATAGGAAATTAACAAATGCAGATTGGAGTAAAGTAGAAGAGCGTTTTGAGAAACGCCTCAGTAGTTGGAAAGGAAAAAATCTATTAATAGGGGAACGACTGACTTCAATAAATTTAGTACTTAGTAGTCTTCCCATGTATTCGATGTCCTTCTTTGAGGTACCAAAGGGCGTTCTTCGCTTCTTTTGGCAATGCAACAAGCATAAAAGGAAATACCGTCTAGCCAAATGGGACATCCTGTGCCAACCTAAAGAGGACGGAGGGGTAGGCATAATTTAGTACTTAGTAGTCTTCCCATGTATTCGATGTCCTTCTTTGAGGTACCAAAGGGCGTTCTTAAAAACTAGACTACAATTGTCTCGCTTCTTTTGGCAATGCGACAAGCATAAAAGCAAATACTGTCTAGCCAAATGGGACATCCTGTGCCAACCTAAGAGGATGGAGGGGTAGGGATGCATATCCTGGAGATCAAGAATACAGCACTGCTCAGCAAATGGCTGTATCGGTTGTTGAAAACAGACGGTACTTGGCAACAAATATTATGCAATAAGTACTTGGGTACTAAACCTCTTGTCCAGTTCATTGGAAGTGTGGGGATTCTAATTTCTGGGGCAGCCTTATGAAGGTTAAAAGGGATTTTCTACGGTTGGGATCTTTTATAATCAAAGTCGGATCACGGGTATGGTTTTGGGAGGATAAGTAGCTAGGAAATAGAACATTACGAGATCAATATCCTCAACTATACAACATTGCTCGCAAGAAACAAGATACAGTGGCCAAAGTGTTGAGCGCATACCCACCAAAAATATCATGGCACAGAGACCTTATTGGTCACAAGCTCGCATTGTGGAATAATCTCCTTTCATGGCTGTCCAACGTTGTTCTAAGCCAAGAGGAAGACAAGTTCTGATGGAAACTACATCAAAGTGGAGAATTTTCTGTAAAATCTCATTACCTAGCGTTGTTCCATCAGGATGTGCCCAATTCTAACGAACGCTTATGGAAGTTAAAAGTACCTTTGAAGATCAAGATCTTTTTGTGGTATCTTTGATAAGGTGTTATTTTAACAAAGGATAGTTTAGTGAAACACAATTGGCAAGGCAAACAACAGTGTTGTTTCTATCATTAAGATGAAACGATCCAATATCTATTTTTGAGTGCTAGTTAGCTCGTATGGTTTGGGCAGTGGTCTATGTGTCTTGTGGTCTTTCTAAGCGACGTAGTGTGTCCAATATGTTTGGCACTTGGCTACAAGGGATTAGACATGACTTAAAGTATTTAGTACTTCTTGGAGCCGCTGCTACTTGTTGGGCTGTGTGGTTAGGCAGGAATACAATGGTATTT